GGAAATGGCAGGCACATACACATGCACATACATACACACATATATTATATATATAATATTATATATATTATATATAATATATATATATATATATATACATATATAATATATATATATATATAGATACATATATATTATATATATATATATAATATATATATATATAATATTATATATATGTGTGTGTGTGTGTGTNGAGAGGGAAGTAGGAGGGAGGGAATGGAATGAGAGGAGATGTAGAGAGAGAGAGAGAGGAGAAGAGAGAGAGAGAGAGAGAGGAGGAGAGAGAAGAGATGGACGAGAGAGAGAGAGAGAGGAGAAATGAAGAGAAGAGAGAGGTAGGGAGGATAGGAGAGATTAGGAGAATAGAGAGAGGAGAGAGAGATAGGAGAGATAGGAGAGAGAAAGAAGAGAGATGAGAGATGAGAGAGGAGAGAGAGAGAGAGAGAGAGAGAGGAGAGAGAGAGAGAGAGAGAGAGAGAGAGAGGAAGAGAGAGAGAGAGAGAGAGAGAGAAGAGGAGAGAAGAGAAGAGAGAAGAGAGAGAGAGAGAGAGAGAGAGAGAGAGAGAGAGAGAGAGAAGAGAGAGAGGAGAGAGAGAGAGAGAGAGAGAGAGAGAGAGAGAGAGAGAGAGAGAGAGAGAGAGAACGAACACTCCTAGGCAATATATGACAGCAAATTGGATTGGCCGGATTCAAAGATCCTGTCTATCTTATGTACAAAGACTCTCTTGGTAGAATTTATCGATCTCTGTGCCGCCTGTTTGTTTGTTGTTGCTTTATCCTAACCGAATTACACCGTAAATACTTTTTGCCGAAATAGGTGTGCACAGGAGCCCGGTGACAAAGGTTTGGCGAGAGGAAGTCTGTAACAAGTGGTCGTTATTGTTGTTGTTCGTTATTGTTGCTGTCACTACTACTACTACTACTATCATTACTATTTTGATTATAATTACGTCTATTGTCTCTATCATTATCATCATTATCGTTATCATTGTTACTACCATTATATTACCATGTTATTACTTTTTTCTATTACTATTATTACCCTTAGAAGAAGAAGAGGAAGAAGAAGAAGAAGAAGAAGAGGAAGAAGAAGAAGAGAGAAGAAGAGAAGAAGAAGAAAGAAAGAGAAGAAGAAGGAAGAGGAAGAAGAAGAAGAAGAGAAGAAAGAAGAAGAAGAAGAGAAGAAGAAGAAGAAGGAGAAGAAGAAGAAGAGAAGAAGAAGAAGAAGAAGAAGAGGAAGGAAGAGAAGAAGAAGAAGAAGAAGAAGAAGAAAGAAGAAGAAGAGAAAGAAGTAAAAGAAAAAGAAAGAAGAAAAAAATGGTTTTCAATAAATTTCATTATTCCCTCAAAAAAATAAAAAATAAAAGTGATTTGATGACTTTGAAAAGTTATTAATCTCTTGTCATGCCATTTAGAGAAAATACTTTTACTAGTAAATGAGAGAAAGAAAAGTGTTATTAATGCCCACAAGAACCAAGAGGATGACTTTGAAAAGCTGTTGTTCTCTTCTTTAAATGCTTGGAGAAATAAATAAAGAACAATGAAAAATAACCTTATCTATTTTTTGTCCGGACGCAAAACAGGAACTTTCATTATTGTGAAATTATTATTTTTTATTATTATTATTATTTTTATTATTATTATTATTTCATTATTGTGAAATTATTATTGTGAAATATATTATTGAAATTTAATTATTGTGAAATATTATCCCTCATCATCATCATCATCACCATCATCATCATCATTATTTTCATTATTACTATTACTATCATCATCATCATTATCCATATTACTGTTATTATCATCATTATCGTTGTTATTATCATGATCATTGTTCTTATTGTATTATTATCATTGTTGTTGATATTTTTGTTATGATTATTTCAATTATTATCACAAGCATTATTACTATTAATACATTTAATATTATTAATAATACTATAATAATAATAATAATAATAATAATAATAATAATAATAACAATATAATAATAATAATAATAATAATAACAATAATAATAATAACAAATAATAACAATAATAATAATAATATAATAATAACAATAATGACTGACAAAGACGATAACGATAACGATAACGATAAAGATTTTTTTTTTATAAATCACAACGATAATAAAGATAATAAAGACAACAACCCCCACTACCCATCCCCCCCAAAAAAAAAATCACAACGATAATAAAGACAACAACCACCCCACTACCCCCCACTAACCCCCCTCCCCCAAAGAAAGAAAGAAAGAAAGAAGAAAAAAAAAAAACTCCAACCCCCTGGAACTCTCTCCCACCATGCAGGAACAGCGGCTCGCTCTGTTCCTCCGAAGGCAACTTGGTGATGTTGATGTACATGGCGTCGCGGAAGCCCAGCCAGCGAGCCGTCTCCTCCGGCTTCACGGAAGGCAGAAGCTCTTGCGGAGTTGCTCGCTGTGGAGGAGGAGTGGCGGTGGTCGTAGGAAGTCCTTGGTGCAGAGGACGACCTGTGGGTGGGTGGGATGGGGAGGGGGTGGAGGGAGGATGGGAAGGGGGAAGGGGTGAGGAGGGGGATGGGAAGGGGTGGAGGAGGGGGGAAAAGAAGGAGTGGTGAAGGATGGAAGAGAAGGGGTGGTGGAGGGGGGGTAGGGGATGGTGGAGGGGGAGGGGGGGAGGGGGAAGGGAAGGGGGTGGAGGAGGGGGAAAAGAAGGAGTGGTGAAGGATGGAAGAGAAGGGGTGGTGGAGGGGGGGTAGGGGATGGTGGAGGGGGGAGGGGGGAGGGGAAGGGGGGGGGTGGAGGAGGAAAAAAGAAGGAGTGGTGAAGGATGGAAGAGAAGGGGGTGGAGGAGGAGGAAGGAAGGGGTGGGGGAAGGGAGGGAGATGGGAAGGGGGTGGATGGAGGAGGAGGGGAGATGGGAAGGGGGTGCAGGAGGAGGGGGATGGGGGGGTGGAAGGGAGGAATGGGGGGGTGGTGGAGGAGGAGGAAGAGGAAGGGGGTGGAGGAGGAGGGGGGAGGAGGGGGTGGGGAGGAGGGGAAGGGGAAGGGGGTGGAGGAGGAGGAGGGGAGATGGGAAGGGGGGTGGAGGGGGAGGAGGATGGGAAGGGTTGATTTGGAGGGGGTGGAGGAGGGGGAAAAGAAGGAGTGGTGAAGGATGGAAAGAAGGGGGGTGGGGAGGGGGGTAGGAGGGGATGGATGGGAAGGGGGGAAGGAGGGGAGGAGAGGAGAAGGGGAGGGGGAAGGAGGGTGGAGGGGAGATGGGAAGGAAGGAGTTGAAGGAGGAAGGAGGTGGTGGAGGGGGGAGATGGAAGGGAAGGAGTGGTGAAGGAGGGGAATGGAAAGGAAGGAGAAGAGGGAAGAAGGGGTGTGGAAAGGGAAGGAGTGTGAAGGAGGAAGAGGGGGTGTGGAAAGGGAAGATAGATAGATAGATAGAGAGAGAGAGAGACGAGCACGGGAGAAGACGAAGGAGGAGGGGAAGGGAGGGGAGAAAAAAAAAAAAGAATATTAGAAACATCCAAAAACAAAAACCAACAACGACATAAACACGAACAGTAAAAAAAATAATAAATAACAAAAAAAAAATAAAAATAATAAAACAATAATTAGCACCAAAACAACATATCACTTACAATATCACTTCCATTAATACGTATTTTCTGAACAGATAAAAATTACAATCACCATTAGTCGCGACAAAACCTTAAAACGACACAAACTGATTGCATTTTATTAACAATACAGAATATAATACAACAGCACATTGATGTAATCTTTCGGCCGGTTTGTGAAAGTTGTGCCAGGCCCGACCCAATGAATATTCGCATAAACAAGCATCTATATACACAGAGATAAATGCACATCTATCGATCTATCAAATATATATATATATATAATATATTATATATATATATATATATATATATATATATATACATTTATTTTCCCGTCTGTACGGTAGATATGCATGTCTAGACTGATAGATATGCATCTATTTCTGTGTATGTGCGTGCGCGCGTGTGTGTGTGTGTGCATGTGTGTGTGTGTGTGTATATGTATGTGTATGTGTATGTATGTGTGTGCGTGTGTGTGTACGTGCGTGTGCGTGTGTGTGTGGCGTGTGGGTGTGTTAGGGCGTGTGTGTGTGTGTCTATGTATGTGTATGTGTGTGCGTGTGTGTACTTGCGTGTGCGTGTGTGGGGGGGGATGTGTGGGGTGTGTGGGGTGTGTGCGTGTGTGGCGTGTGTGTGTGGTGTGGGTGGTGTGGGTGGTGTGTGTGTGGGTGTGTTTGGGTGTGTGCGTGTGCGTGTGCGTGCCTGTGTACACTTATAAATCCTGTTTCCTATCGTTATTACACCAATGTTGCCATAGATATTTCCACCAAACCGCTACACATAAGAATAAAAGGTCCTCATTTTTCCCGCTAAAGAGACCTTTAAAAACCGCTAAACATAGAATAAATTTCAAGACACTGTTCCGCTAGATTATAGACCACTAGACCTAGCGGGAAAAATCGCTAGAATGGCAACACAGTCTTTAAATTCAAAGAACATTTAAAAGTGCCAAACGTTTGACCAACGTTTTCTAGACACGTGGCGCCTCTTTCTTACCCTGAACAATATCCCATCTAAATACTGTTCTAAAATCTTGCGTTATTCAAAAATATCATACAGTATTCGTACTGGCAACGTAATTTTGATTCGAATAAATCATATGAATTATACAAATTATATAATGTGAAGCGTGGCACTATTATTGCCATTATCGTCATCATCATCATTATCATTACTATTATCAATATCCTCACTATTATCTTATTATTATCATCATCGTAATGATCACAATCATCATTATTATTACCATTACTACCATTATTATTATCATCACCATCGGTATTATCATCATTATCATAGCTATCATCATCATCGTCGTTAATATCATTAATACTGTTATCATCACCACCACTATCATTATCTTTACTAACATCACCCTTATCAATATTGCTGTTAACACTATATTCATCATCATTAGTAGTGCGATTAAGACGAAGAGCAAAATGAGAAGCAAAATGTTAGCCACGAAGGAGCGAGAGAGCAAAACAGTTCTGCGAAAGCTGGCGTTCACAAAGACCAAAGGAGGCGCTCTGGAAACTCCAAAAGAAAATACTCATTTTTTTTAAAGCAAGGAGGAAGAATAAAAAAAAAAAAAGGAGAGAAAAGGGGATGCACAGGAGGATGGAAGATAATACGAACGAAGGTCCTGTCTAGTATCTGAAGCAACAGCCAGTTAATTCAGCGAAAGGTTTCTATTCATGGAGTTTGTAGAAGAGACGCGGCAGGTTTAAAAGGAAGAGTGAGAAAATGGCAGAGAAAATGTTGGCGGGAGTGTTTATCAGCTGAGCCAGCAGATAAATAAAGAGTTTAATTGGAAAAGCAAGTATCTCTTTTTGCGGAAAATTGAATATCTCTTTTTGCGGAAAATTGTAAGTGTCTCTTTTTGCGGAAAATTGCAAGTGTCTCTTTTTGCGGAAAATTGCAAAGTATCTCTTTTTGCGGAAAATTGAATATCTCTTTTTGCGGAAAATTGCAGCGGAAAATCTCTTTGCGGAAAATTGTGTCTCTTTTTGCGGAAAAAAATCTCTTTTTGCGGAAAATTGCAAGTATCTCTTTTTGCGGAAAATTGCAAGTATCTCTTTTTGCGGAAAATTGCTCTTTTTTTCTCTTTTTGAGGAAAATTGCAATATCTCTTTTTTGCGGAAAATTGCAAGTGTCTCTTTTTGCGGAAAATTGCAAGTATCTCTTTTTGCGGAAAATTGCAAGTGTCTCTTTTGCGGAAAAATTGCGTGTCTCTTTTTGGGAAAATTGAAATCTCTTTTTGCGGAAAATTGCGTGTCTCTTTTGCGGAAATTGCAAGTGTCTCTTTTGCGGAAAATTGCAAGTGTTTCTTTTGCGGAAATTGCAAGTGAATCTCTTTTTGCGGAAAATTGCAAGTGTCTCTTTGCATTGCAAGTGTCTCTTTTTGCGGAAAATGCAAGTGTCTCTTTTTGCGGAAAATTGCAATTGCCAAGTGTCTCTTTTGTGAAATTGCAAGTGTCTCTTTTGCAAAATTGCAAGTGTCTCTTTTTGCGGAAAATTGCAAGTGTCTCTTTTTGCGGAAAACTGCAAGTGTTTTTTTTTTGCGGAAAAATTGAATATTTCTTTTTGCGGGAAAATTGCAAGTGTCTCTTTTGCGGAAAATTGCGTCTCCTTTTTGCGGAAAATTGCAAGTGTCTCTTTTTGCGGAAATTGCAAGTGTCTCTTTTGCGGAAATTGCAAGTCTCTTTTTGCGGAAAAAATTGCAAGTGTCTCTTTTGCGGAAATTGCAAGTATCTCTTTTTGCGAAAATTGCAAGTGTCTCTTTTTGCGAAATTGCTCTTTTGCGAAAATTGCAAGGTCTCTTTTTTGTGGAAAATTGCGTGTCTCTTTTTGCGGAAAATTGCAAGTGTTTTTTTTTTTGCGGAAAACTGCAAGTGTCTCTTTTGTGGAAAATTGCGTGTCTCTTTTTTGCGGAAAATTGCAAGTGTTTGCGAAAATGCAAGTGTCTCTTTTGCGGAAAATTGCAAGTGTCTCTTTTTTGCAAGTGTCTCTTTTGCGAAAATTTGTCTCTTTTGCGGAAAATTGCAAGTGTCTCTTTTTGCGGAAAATTGCAAGTGTCTCTTTTTGCGGAAAATTGCAAGTGTCTCTTTTTGCGGAAAATTGCAAGTGTCTCTTTTTGCGGAAAATTGAATATCTCTTTTTGCGGAAAATTGCAAGTGTCTCTTTTTGCGGAAAATGCTCTCTTTTTGCGGAAATTGCAAGTGTCTCTTTTTGCGGAAAAGTGTCTCTTTTTGCGGAAAACTGCAAGTGTCTCTTTTGCGGAAAATTGCAAGTGTCTCTTTTTGCGGAAAATTGCAAGGTCTCTTTTTGCGAAAATTGCAAGTGTCTCTTTTTGCGGAAAATGCAAGTGTCTCTTTGCGGAAATTGCAAGTGTCTCTTTTTGCTCTTTTTGCGGAAAATTGCTCTTTTTGCGGAAAATTGCAAGTGTCTCTTTTTGCGGAAAATTGAATATCTCTTTTTGCGCGGAATTGCAATGCGGAAAATTGCAAGTGTCTCTTTTTGCGGAAAATTGCAAGTGTCTCTTTTTGCGGAAAAATGCAAGTGTCTCTTTTTGCGGAAAATTGCAAGTATCTCTTTTTGGAAATTGCAAGTATCTCTTTTTGCGGAAAATTGCAAGTGTCTCTTTTTTTGTCTCTTTTGCGGAAAACTGCAAGTGTTTCTCTTTGCGGAAAATTGCGTCTCTCTCTTTGCGGAAAATGCAAGTATCTCTTTTTGCGGAAAACGATCGCGAGTCAAATTATGAAAAAAAAAAAAAAAAAACGACGGAAATTAAAAAAAAACATTTACCGATCTTTCCTAACGCAACGAAAAATGGCGAGACAGCGGTTCCGCGATTCTCAATTTCTTCCCACAACGAATTCAAATTTCACAACCCTT